CAAGTCTTGCTTTCCTAAAAAAAGAAGAAAAACTCAGGTAAAAGCATTACATTATGCATGCATTGTTTCGCTTAATGCAATTATAAGGCATTATACGGCAAGTGATCCAGTAGCGTTCACCCTTGACTTGAATGACGCAAGAACATTGCGGACACATGGACAGACAAGCCTCGCTAGGTAGAGAAAGTGATTCTAAATCGATTGATCTGATAGAAGGTGGATCGATCCTTAGTCCTTTTATATATTCTATATATATATATATATATATATCTGAATAAACTTTATTTAGACCCCAGGTACCGCATTGTAATATAAGGTATAATAAGAGATAACATAAATCCATGCGATGGAGATGGATGAAGAAAATTCCAAATGTATATCATATGTTATTTACTTTCAAGATCGTAGGCTTATTGTTTGCACAGATTTTAAAGTCAGCAAACATTACATAAATAAAGATATGGAAAGACGAATAGAAAGACGCTTGGACAGAGACATGCTAAGCTAGACAAATTGGTAGATAAATAGAAAGGCACACCCATGTTGTGGTCTGCAGTAATGAAGAGATTTTATCAAAGATATGCATATTGACAAATGACCACTGGTTGAAGATATAGTCGATGAGACAAGGGGCCAAGCTAACGAATATATTCATATTATGTTGTATTGGATCGCATAATAGGCGGCCGTGTGTTTCATGACCGGACTGAAGGATTGACATAATTATGTACAAGTATAGCAGCAATACGCTTAACAAACAAGATTAGCAAACAAGAGTTACATTGACAGACGACCAATACTAATAGCCGTGTAACAAGCGAACAAATAGATAAAATATTTCATAAGCGATCTAATAGGCAGACAATTATGCTGGCAATCTACATAACATGTAACGATGTGGGCTTTAACGAACAGTCAGATTACCAGACTGTCGTATACATGTTAACAATTACGTCAAGTCACAAACGGATCGCGTGCGTTGACTTTGTTAAACCGACTAAATATATGTAGTTCATGGAATCTTTTCAATTTTTTTTCTTCTTCTGAATATCGCAACGGAACTGTCTAAATATAAAACTACACGTATTACATTATCATTTATATATACGAATAAATTTAATTTTCTACCAAACACGTAACGATTCTTTCAATTAATTCTATACATTATTGTCATTAAGAAACCTTTTCTGTTGCATCGAAATTATTAGAAAAAACCATAAAGCAAAAAAAAAAAAAAAAAACCCGCCCAACTCGACGTAGTTACGATACAAATAAAAGTGATTGGATAGATTGCCAAGAAAGAAAGAAAGATAGAAAAAACCCCATGCGTTAATATTTACCTTAAAGTAAAACTCAACTCAACTCAACTCAACTCAAGTCAACTCAACTGAAGACTCATCTACTAAATAATAATTTTTTTTTAAGTAAAAATCAATGAATTGCACAAAATTTGTTTAGATCAAAAGTTTATACGTCACATTTATTTGTTATTGTTGTTGTTGTTATTATTATTATTGTTGTTATTCATATTTGTACAGAATTTAAACGAAAGTCATAAACGATTCATAAGATAAGAGCTAATCAGGTAATTTGTTCTTCCGTAGCAACTCTAGATACTTTTCAAACAAGTCAACGTAGATTACCACGATTTACATGATAAATTTAATATATATTTAGCGCCAAACATTTCTCGAGGCAAAAAAAAAATAAAAAAATAAAAACAAAAAAAAACAAACTTTGAAGTAAAAATAAAATGGCACAGCTTTCGTAATACAATAATAAAGGTGGGGGTGTTGAGAGAGCAACAATTTTAGATGACCTTGTTCATCATGACAGCCAACAGCCGACAGCCTACGAATTAAAAGCAAATATATTTTAATACAAGTCTGGGAAGAAAAGCAGAAAAAAATCACCGCTAAATTAAAAAATAAAGCAAAAAAAAAAAACAAAATAAAATTTATTTCATTTAACAATTTCGAAACTTTTACCGAGAAACCGTTATGTTTTCTGCCAAAAACATTTTTCATTTTGCATAATTTAAAGAGAATTATTTTCATAATAACATAGAAAATCAAACGTAAAGCCGTTATTTTTAGAATTTTCTCAAGAAATTATTCTCTGCTGATGTTTTACTAAATTCATTGTTCCGTTTGTGCTACCCCGACGCATGCATCGAAGATTCTTGATCCCCTTTAATATTCCATGAATGATTTCTGAGTATATACATTCGATCCGTAGTATGTTCATAATGCAAAGTGCCCTGTCACTGTCAATCTTAGCCCTATCAGGCTAAACGACGCGACTACACGGATCGGGCATTAACTTCAACTTTCAAAGCTGCATATCATTCGCATAACATGTATATAAAAAAAAAAAAAAAAAAAAAAAAGGATCTGAATCTACGTTCCTTTTTATACGGTTTTCACGGTTTCACACAATTTAAGTAAATAGTTAGCGTTTGATCAACGTAAGATTCCGTACTTCCGGTTTACTTCTGCCTCTCCCGCTCTCTGGCTTCCGCAAGAAATTTGCAAAGGAAAGTTCAAACTTAAGATATGCATCATGCGCTATGCTAGTTCATCAAATCGAGGACATACACTCATACACACGCACAATTTTTAAAACATTGCATTGGTAATTCACATATATACGTAGGTTTAAAGTCGAATCGAACTTGTTCTTAATTGCAAATATCTAAGTAAACAACAATGTTATTACGGCTAGTGTAGCGCAATACACAGTCTGACGATGTTTCTTTCATAGATGCGTAGCGACTGGCAGACAAGATTTTCAAGTGTTAACATTTTCCCAAGCTTCGAGAGCAATCCACTCGCATGTCGTGAACGCAGTAAAAAAATGCGTATTCCACGACCTCTGCTACTCCACATCGTAAGCCTCGACGATCGCCTTCGTGCTTGACGGTATGGAGATAGGCCGTACGGCAACCATGTCCCAATGCTTTTGTGGGAGCCAGTCTTCAATTTTCAGTATCAGACGGTGTGTTTAACTTGTATATTGCCCTTCGTCCAGCATCCTTCTTGTTCACATAGCTTTCCTTTAGCTAATGAATTGCTCGAAATCGTCCTAGCTATAATCAGGTCAGCATTCTCGAACGTTCGCCATTTACGAGGTTGTGTTATTCAGATGCACTTTAAACTTAATTCCAAGATATTTAATGTTGTCTTTCGCGGTAAAATCGCTATGGCCCGCCTTTATGGGCGCGATCTCCTTTTTCTTCCGGCCACTTACGCGGATTGCTTCCAGTTTTTGCTCAGCGAACTGCTGCTACTACTACTTACTGTTCCTAGCCATGTCCGAATCTTTTCGATTACGTTTCCCGCTATGCTTGGCAACCATTAAGATAATCAAATCATTGGCGAAACCTATAATTTTAACATGCTCAAGGACTTGTAGATGCGCCATCGTCTACAGCGCTAAGCTGTGCTCATTGAATCCTGAGATATACCATAACTAACGTAATGCAGCTTTTATCTTGAAGCACACGATTCTATCTTTGAAAGAAGTCATTGTGTACGCTATACGCTTGGCTTAAGGCATTTGCGAAATCTTTTTGCCTTTTCGAAGGGAATAATTTTAAAAATAAAAGTTTCTTTGCAAAATCTTTTGTAGACGTGAAAACGCGTCCCATACGATGACTAATAATATTATTGTCTACTCAACGCAATTTAATGCGTCACAAATGAGACGACAAGGTTAAGAAATCCTAATGATTTTTCAATTAAAGTAAACAATAACAAGAAATGTTTATTATTGTCTACGATTCTATAAAAATTATAGATAAGTTAAGGATTTTATTTTGATAGAAAAAAAAGAAAAACAAAAAAAATTTCATTCTAAAATTATAAATTATATGTATAATTATAATGATAAATTCATTCAGTTTTAAAAATTTTAACTAAAAGTCAAAAGTGTTTGTCTTATGATCAAAGTAAATGTAATGAATATTTATTTTATTTTTTTATGTGACAATCGAACAAAGATAAGGGAGTAGGAGTGTTTTACCTTATAACGGATACAATCAAATGAATAATGGATGGATAAGAAAATAATAAGTACATCAGATAAAGGCGGAGTTCTAGAGATAAGGCCTTACCAGCTATAAAAAGCAAACAATGAATTTTATACGAAAAAAAACGGGAAAAAGTAAACTATAGGGAAATATGTAAAATGTTGCTGTTGTACTTGCATAATCGATATTGATTAAGAACAAAAATTAGATGAAAGTGTTCGAATCCAATGAAAGTCGAGTCGGAAAATATCTTACGATAATAATTAGAGTGAACAAAGTGTTGTTTGCGAAGAGCATTAGAATATCATAAATAAATTTTGTTATTTGATCATCTGAGATGAATGGGTTCAACATCAAGAACAAATATTTTACCTATAAAATGATAAATGCTATTGAAAGTACGACCCTTTCTCAAAAGAATTTGAGTAAGTGAAATATTTTAAAAAATATTCAACTTCAACATGTCCTTCTATTCGCTCATGTTGCAAATTCAAAAAGGCGTTGATGAATTAAATGAAAAGTATTCATTGATTTTCGGAGCATAAATACGTCTTAGCTTTGTCGAACTTTATACATTTCTGTAGGCGTTTCGTGACGAGAAAATACCGACCAAAAAAAAGCTATGTACGAGAATTTTTCTACTAATTATCTAAGACGATGCTCGCTCCTGCACGGTTGACGACGATAATGTCCTTTCTATTTTTGATTCAAGTAAACAGGATTTTCAATTCCGAAGAACATGAAATCGGTCGACAGAGTTGCCGTCCAAGTCAAATCTAAATCTAAGCATAAGAGTTGATAAATGGCATAGCGAATCTATTTCAAAAATACAATTTTATTTATTTATTTATTTATAACTTAAAGGGTCGATATGTTAATTTTTTTTTTTTAAGTGATTTTGTTTAAAGCAAACTAACAAAATATGAAAATGAAATATAGAAAAATGTGTACGCTTTCGGTTAATTTGCAGGTCGTGAACAGTAGCAGCAGTACAACAACCCGTGTTGAGAAGAAATCACGTTTACATCAGATAACGTCGTCTTCCTCGTCTTCCTCGTCATCATCCACCTCAACCGAAATGAAGGCTGCCGCTTTAAAACGTGATATGAGTGAATTTAAAAATTCCATGTCGGAAATAAATGATTTGGCATTGGGACGTGGCAATACCGGCACACCGGCCTTAACCAGTTCAACGAGTACACTAAGCCATCATCAGCCACCTTCCATAAACGATCTCAGCAATTTAAACAATTTGAATAGTTCGGATGCCATAACTAAACTTAAAAAAAAGTAAGAAAAAGTAAAAAAATTATTGAACGCGTTCACAATTCATTCAATTCATTTCAATAGTTTCAATATTAATATTATGTTTTATTTGCAGAATACGTTCTTCCCTTGAGAATATCGTTGATGATGATATACAACCGAAAATTAAGTTCCCCGATGACGATGATGAAGAAATGAATATGGATTTAGTTGAGGCATCGAATCAATTGTCGGGCAACGGTTTAAATGGTACAAACGTTACCGTTGACACAGTAAAATTTGAAGAGAAACGCACTAAAACTGAATCAAAAAAGAAATTCGTTACCGACGGTTTCAGCTCAGAACAGGCGACCAGCAATTTAGCTGAAAGTAAACGCTTGCAAGCGGGTGATATTGATTTTCAACAGGCTACCGCAGCGGCAGCCACTCGCAATCGTTTAGAAGTTGACGGTGTTAAGGCTGAAGAGAATGCCGCCGTTATACACGTAAGTCTTGAAGAGAACTATTAAAGTGCCTTTATTATTATTTTTTCTCTTTAAAGAAAAAATAAATATATTTATATATATATATATATATATATATATATATTTTATACACATCTTATATATATATATATATATATCATATCTTTTACAACGCAATTCATTCACCAGCAAAATATGTCTCCAAATGCTTACAAGTGCTTATTATACAAATTAAAAATGCTCTAGAGAGGGGAGGAGGGGATCCGAAACAAATACACTCTGCTCACAGGAGATGATATAAAAAGCTTTCCATTTTTTCTTTTTTTTAAATAAAACACCATTAAGCTCATATATGCAAAATGCAGCCGCGCAGAGGTTTGTTTACCTTAACGACAAGTGCAACTGAAATTGTCGTTTATTGTTACCGCAACAACTACCGCACTGAAAACCTTCTAGTATTGATTTAATTCAGGTGAATTAAAAACTTGACTTGAATTAAAAAAAAGAAAAACTTTTCTTCATTACGAACCTAATTATGTGAAATGTAAACAATACGTTTGAACCGAAGTAATACCCAAGAGGCGTGACTTTGCTTAAAGCACATTTCTCTGCAATGGTAATACGTAATTTGACAGAAGAGAAGAGAAGAGAGAGAGAGAGAGAGAAAAAGCAATTTAAGTATCCGTAGATCTAGGATTTATTCAATAGTGATTGATAAAGAAAAGAATAAAGCGGCTTTGATTAGAAAAATTGTAAAACAAAGCTACGAGAACTTGACTTTCAAATAGAACACCTAACGTGTAAAGGCAAATAATGGAAAGATGATCATATATTTGAATAACTTTGTATATAGGGTTCAATAAGTAAAAGTAAGCGTAAGAATTGCTGGGAAGATTACTTACGATGGCTAGGAGAACATCACTGTCGTCGTATGACTTTTTGAAGCGTATATTAAAGCAACGCCAGACGGTCTTCAAACCCCAAAACACTGACAAGCAAGAAGAATAACGATTAGTTATGGTTCAGAATGTTGTTGCGAAGATGAAAATCGCTTAGTCCTTTGCTTTATCGCCTTTTTTCGTGGACAATATTGACGATCTCGCACATTGTGACGGCAAATGTCAAATCGTTCGCAACTTAAATATTCTTAAGAGTAGCTAAGACAGATAAACCAAAAGCCGAGGAATGATAGTGTAGAATTGAAAAATTCATCACTAGTTTGCTAGTTGAGATCGAAAATGAAAATGAGAAAAACAATGAATTTAATTGAAAAAGAAAGAATCGATATGAAAACATTGATTGATTGAAGCTGAGCACAGTGTAACATAATATATTTATACGTCATACTGAGCAAGCGATCTCTCTCGCTAATCGAGTCAAGATAAATTTTTCAAGAAAAAATTGCTCATATCGCATTTGACTTGCATCGCCAAACACCGGTTGATTTACATATTTTGAAATTACTATCGAATGTTGAGAAACTTCTGCCTCTGGCTCGGAAAAGCAAACGAGACAATAGTTTAATATATATTCAAGATTTATACGTAATATTTCGAATGTTCGGTTATATCAATTGCTTAGTAATATCTCGGTACCTTGATTTGCTTATTCGCATTGGTTAATTAATAGCAGTATTTACTAGAGAGCCTTTCATTAAGTGCGTTTCAAAATCTCATACTAGAAACTTTCAGTTACAGAAAGCGGCGGAATAACCGAAAAATTCAAGTGATCGCCAAGTCTTTCATCTATGGCCATAAAATAATTTTTATCCATAATCTCCTAGTAATAAGGGATTTATGATTTTATGTTTTTATTTTTAATATTATATGTCGGTGGAATGCGATTCGAAACGAAGCCGTTCCACGTTGCTTTCTCTGTTGCACAGAAGTTATTAGCAGACATTTTGAGAAAATGCTCATCGAAACGGATAACGTTGAGAGGCAAAAACATATATTTTCAAAGCTTCCCGATAGTTTGGTAAAATAATCACGAGTTGTGTACGCGCGGAGAAGATCGCAAGTGAGATAACTTGTCGGAATTGATTTGAGAAATTTTATTGTGGGGAATTTTCGCTTCCATCAAGAACGTAGTGAAGTCTTTTTTTAAGGTTTTTAATGACTGCATAGATTCTAATCTAGAATTTCGTCAATTTTCAAGTTACAAGTTTATGCAGAGGCACAATACTTTCTGTTTAGCTTTCAATTGAAATTTTACTCCTTTGTATTGTTTTTTTTTTGTTTTTGTTTTTTTTTGTTTACCAAGACTTTTTAAGGGTGTGCGCTCTTCGTATAAAATTAATAGACATTAGGTCATTAAAGTCTTTAACATGCACGCAAACCCGCATTAGTTTTGATTGGAAAAACCATGTGAAGTTTCTCGCTACATGCAAAAATATTCATGTTAGAAAGGATTAACATGCATATACAGTTAGGAAAGAAGTTATTATTTAAAGCGACACAAAGTCTACGTTTAAATTCAACTGTTAAAGCATGAATGCGTGAAGGACACCTAAAGGATAGGAATAAATGGTTTTCTTTCCTCTTACTTAACTTTATTGATTTTTTTTTTTTTTTTTGTTTTTTTTTTTTTAAGGAAAATAAATGAGAAATGGAATTAGGGGAGTTAAGAAATCTTTACACACACAAGAACACGTACATATACATCCATATATCGATAAAAAAAAAAGAAAGAACTTTTACTTTCTCCATTTTGGGGTGAACAAGTAAATGCGATCCCTTAGTTGATTACCAACGTTCAATGTCCTCGTTTGCGCGGTAACGCGTATAAACTCTTTTTTTCTTTGTGTATTTGAAAGCAGATAAAAAAAAGTAGAAAAATTAATGTTTATAACAAAAACATTGCAGTGTAGTCAAGTATTGATAAAAAAATGTCCTTCGATTCAATTAACATCTGCACGATGTTATACGCCAACGAAACGTTCACGTTACAAGTACAGAAAAGTGTTTGATAAAATTAAGGTAAATTAACGAAAGTGCTATGCGAAAAAAATAATTATATTACGAATTGCAAAAAGAGTTGATTAGATATTCCCTTGGACGAAAACAAAGGATTTCGACTTTTACTTAAACATAAGAAAAATGAGCGAAATGCGAAGGCAGTCTCGACAGAAAGTGTATTTAGGCATTTATACGACGACGCCGAGGCGGACGCGGCGACGGAAACGGCGAGAATAAATTGTGAATATATATTTTATTTTTTTTTTTATTTTTGTTTAAATTTTATTTAAATATCTTTAATTTACATTTTTATTACACTTATACTTCAACAATAATTATTTATATAATGGATTTTTCGAAAGAAAATAAGAAATCACAATTAACATAAATTCCAAAACTAATTAAATTTGCTTATATTCATATCGAGAAATTGGCTACGAGCCAATCATTATACGAACACTCGCGAAAACTCAAAAGGTTACTATTAACCACAACATTACTTAGCATTCATATGATTGGAGTAAGTGGATGGCTGAGTTAATTAAAATTAAAAGGAAAATAAATAATATAAATAAATGATTTACTATATAAATCGCAAACTTTTTTTTCAAGTTTTTAAAAGCGAGAAAAAGTTTGACACGTAGACAAAGCGTTTTTTTTTTTTTTTTTTTTTTGGTTGCTTTCCGTTTTTTGAGGTTATGTCGACCGTTAATTTCAAGCGTTACGCATACTATGAACGTGATCGCCTTCTTCGTCTGGGGTCCTAGGTTAAGTGTCTAACTTTCTCTAATTCTCAAATAAGATTTATATTTCAAATATGGAGGTGTTAGTGAATTTCATATAGAATTGATTTCCTGGATTTTACAAATAATTTTGTAAACATTTTTGATATCGATATTATACACATGCTCTACGGAACGGTTGAAAAGTAAACAATTGCTCAACATTTGCTCAAATTCAACTAACGATAGCAACAGGGTGATTAAGGCACCTTACTCTTACTTTCTTGCCGTCTTCGATAAAGCTCTTATTTATACATATTAATATTAAAAAACGAATTAAAGAACAAAAAAAAATTTTAGACAATCAAAGCAGAGAGTAAAAATGATTAAACCTTATAGACCCTGTAGATCCTGGATATAAAAAAGTTGAAAATTAATTTTCTCCATTTTGAGATCGTACTCGTCAACTTTGACAGGTGAATAGACAGACAGACATGCCAGAGAAATACGTATCCATTCCTACGGTTAATTAATAATAATAATAAATATTTTTAATAAATTCATTGATAAAATATAAAAAAATGTCCAAGATTTTATGAGAATTTTTATGCATGCTCTTATACAAGATGTGCTCTCTTCTACATAGTGCAAGTATGATGCTGCTCTCCTATTTTGTTTTAATAAAATCGAAAAATTTCTATGAAAATTTTTTTCTCCGATCTATAAAATGTATTCGCTTACGCTAACGTATAAATTGTTTTTCAGTATAACGCGAGTAATGGATACGAAAACATTTGAAAATTTTTAGACAAATAAAAAAAAAGAAAAAAAATTCGCAAATTTTAAATTTCTTTTTAATTAATTAAAAGAACAAAAAAGAAAAAAGAAAAGAAGAAGAAATGCAAACATTTTTTAACCTCTCACTATCTACATTTGCCTGCAGACAAATCCTAAATACGCGTTTTGTGACGTGAAAATCGAAAAAAATCATTTAAATTTGAAACATTTATATGGCAGATGCATAAACCGAAATGAATAAAATACAAAAATAAAAAAAAACATTTAAATATTTATTATTTTTGTGTAAATTAAATGTGTAATAAATATATACATACATATATAGATATGTAAAGGAATGGACAAAGTAATGTCATGAACAACTCGCAGACATACACGATATTTATTTATTAACAAAGTATTGGTCGGGTAGATAAGCTGGAGTTCTTCGCGGCATTCAATTCATAGAATATCCAAAGAGTTTTCCATTCTTGTACTAAAACATTTGCCAATTGTTGCAATGGTGTTGAAGATAGGTTATCTGCTTCTCATTTTCTTGCTCTAA